ACTAATCCCCTCGAGTTTTCAGGCCTTGAATCGATATTTCCCCCCTTTTACAGGAAAAACCCCTTTTTCTTGATTAAGCATTTCTCCTTTTTCCTCTGAGAAATTTCCTTTTATTTCCTTTCCTTCCCTCTTCACTGTTGGGAAGATTTCCTTTTCCATTCCCTTTCTTTCCCTTTTCTCTGCTGGGAAGTTTCCTTTTTCCTTTTTTATTCTTGGTCTCCGGAGCTCTTGTATTTTGAAATGCATAGTTAACTCTTCAGCCTTTCTAATTTCTACATCTATTTCATATGATGCAGACGACTGGGCGGTGGTGGCGCCTGCTCTTAATCCCAGCACTTGGGAGGTAGAGGCAGATGAATCTCTGTGAGTTCGAAGCCAACCTGGTCACAATAGCTAGTTCCAGGACAGCTAGGACTGTTACAGAGAAACCCCGTCTTGAAAAACAAAAACAAAACAAATGAACAAAACAAACAAACAAAAACCCATCTGCTGAAGATGGAGGAGCATCATCTCAGTGTCCTGGATTCCTCTAAAACAGCATCCCCGCTGACCTGCAAAGCAACATTCTCTTCTGCTCACTGATAATTTCTCGTTTGAGTGTCTTTCCTTTCACTTTCCTGCTCTACTTCAGATACAGCTTTAAGTGACTCCTCGCTCTGCAACGGCTCCAGAGCGCTTGAAATTAAATTACATAAAGACCACAATTTTAACGGCATGGGTTCTCCTCTCGGATGAGCTCTCCTCAAAGCTCTCACAGCTTCGCTTCTGCACCTTCAGTTTCAGTTGGACACGGGACTTGCCTGAGACCGACGGCAGTGCCGCTGAGTTAGCGGCAGCAGCTCTGTAAGCCGTCTTCGCTTTGCCTTTACCAACAGGCATTTTAATAACTGTGTATCCCGTTGCTCCTGAGATGGGACGATTCCGTGACCCTGCCAACCCTGGAGTCCCTAAACCCTGAGGGCACTTCCTTCCGGGTCTTAAAGTGGCCAGCTCCTCTGACCTTCTTTAGCAGATCCTTTGTCCTTCCTTAGGATGGGCGTGATTTTTAGCGTTCGCACTCTCAGGACTGGAAAGCTAAGGCCTGAGGATTAGAAATTCAAGGCCAGCCTGGGCTATCTAGTGATACAATAAAAGAAACAATTGGAAGACCTACAAGAATTCTGCCACTATCAGAGCCGTCAATTGTATTTGAATGGTCCTGCTGTTGGCTGGAATACAAAGTATATTTGCTCTGGTGATGCTAAGACAATTCTCTTTCTGGCTATGGAGATGGTGCAGTTAGGAAAGGTGTTCCGTCATTCAAACCTGATGATCTGAGTGTTCTATTGGCAACCCACTTTGTGGAAGGAGAGAACTGACTCCCCAAATTACGTCTCTGACCCCCACATGTGACCCCCACTTGCACACAATCTCACAACTAAATAAGTAAAGTTAAAAGGAAATTCTAAAAAGAAAATTCTATCTTGATAATGTTGGGGGCTCAGGGTTTGTGCTCAAAGCAAGGTGGGGTCTTTTAAAGTAGTATAACTTCTTTTTTTCCTCACCCTTCTTCCAGTGTTGAGTTTTATTGGGAAACTTGCTTCAACACTAAAAACCAGGTGCTCATGGGAAAAGTATTTTAGAACTGCGTGCGGATGCGCAATCCGTTCTCATCAATGGTCCACTGGATTGGGGACAGGAGTGGGATAGTATCCCCCTTACGGGACTGTTTAGGCAAGGGCATGAGTCCATTCCCAGTGCACAAAATCTTACCAATTGTATATGAAGCATATTACAAAGTCAAAACACGCATTGACAGCCCCCCTTTAAGTTGGTCTTAATACTGCTGGGAATTGAAACCGAAGTCCTCTGCATGCAAGGCAAGTGCTCTTACACTGAGTCAGCTGCTCCGCCCTCCTTTTCTTTTGCTGTAGGAATTCCTACTGCCAGTAGCCTTTAAGTTACCCGCTCACTTGGCCGTGGCCTCTTATACTAGGTACTCCGATGTAAAGTGCACGTCCAGCCTCTTTTTCTGGCTCTGAGATTTGGTTGCTGTTCCCCTTTCCAGCAGAGAACTGTGATCTGGGAGTCTATGCCTGAATAAATAACCCTTTATTATTATTCTCAATTCTGAGCTAGTGTGGGATTTCTTTTAAGTGTCCTTCTTCATTCTTTTTACTTTTTGAGACAGTCAAACTGAGCTGCCCAGTCTGGCTTTGAATTCTCTCTGCCCAAGCAGAGTTGGGAACTTGCTATCTTCATATCTCAGCCTCCCAAGTGACTGAGATTATATAGCCCTTGTATTAGTCAGGGTTTTCTCTAGAGTAACAGAACTTATAGAATGGTCTCTCTCCCTCCCTCCATCCATCCATCTATCTATCTATCTATCTATCTATCTATCTATCTATACATACATACACACGCACGCACGCACACACATGCATATATGATTTATTGGAATGATTTCAGGTTGCAGTCCAGTTAAACCAGCCATGACTGGCTATGAATAGAAAGTCCAAGAACACAGTAGTTGCTCAGTCTACAAAGCTGGATTTCTCAGCTGGTCTTCGGTGTATGCTAGAATCTCAGAGAAGCAGGCTTCAGTGCTGGTGAAGGAATGGATGTGGTGGCAGGTGACGGCAAGCAGGCAAAGAGCAAAAGCTCCCTTCTTCTACGTCCTTATATAGGCTTGCAGCAGAAGAAATGTCCAGATTAAAGTGTATCTTCCTGCCTCAAGTTATACAGGGGCGTGCAAGGCCAGAAGAGAGTGTAGGATCCCTTGAACCTGGAGTTACAGGCCCCCTGGTGTGGGTGCTTAGAATCAAACTCAGGAGCTCTGTAAGGTCAGTAAGAGCTTTTAACTACTGAGCCTTCTCCTGACTGCCTGACCTCCCTCCAGATGACCTCCCTTTTCACCTATGTTTTTAACTAATCATCAGGAAACCTGTGTGGTGCACTTCATAAAACAACTCCTCAGTTTCATCTGACACAGGAGTCCACACTACAAAAGTAAAATCTCCCCCACAGCGGGAAACTATGCTTAGGTTGGATGTGTAAGGGGGTTAGTCAGGGATAGTTGGGAGTGTATCAACAATGTGTGAGCGAAAGGAAAAGCACTGGGGCAACTCAGCAAGGTGCGTGTGAATGTTTGTGTGCACACGTGTGCACGTATGTGTGCACGCATGAGCACATTCGCATGAGTCTGTGTCTGTGTGTGTATGCATGCATGAGTGTGCATGTGCACATGTGCATGAGTGTGTGTGTTTGAGTCCTGATACTCTTTTTTTTTTTTTTTAACCATGTAGGGAGATACCTCTGGAAAGAGGTCTTCAAGCTCACAACCATCTGTAACACTGCGTTCATGGTATCCCACATCCTCTTCTGGCCTCTGCAGACACAGATTCACATGCGTCTACCTACACAAAAAATAAATCATTCAAAATTTTTACAGTGGACTAGAGAGATGGCTCAGAGATCAGGAGCACTGTCTGCTCTTCCAGAGGACCCAAGTTCAATTCCCAGCAACCACATGGAGGTTCACAGCCATTTATAATGAGATCTGGTGCCCTCTTCTGGCATGCAGGCCAAACACTATATACATAATAAATAAATAAATAAATAAATAAATAAATAAATATCTTAAATTAAAAAAAAGTTACTGTAACTATTCTGGGAGGGCGATGACTGCTTTATAGTCTTCCAGGAAATACTGTCCTTTGAAGTTGTACTGCACATATTGAACCTGGGGCAGACACCTATGTGATATTAGTGTCTTGACAGGCTTTCTTCTTAACAATATTAGTGTAGTATTTGTTGGCATTCTAGCTGTGTGTGGCTGAGAGGGTCCCTGTGCTCAGGGATACTGGGAAGTAACTTGCTCCCCAAACACAGACAGGGATCCAGGCTTTTGTCCTCCCTGTGACAGCTGATGGCTCCTTTTAACACATTCCCTCCTCTGAGCAAACTGCTCCATTGTGGAAGGACCCCCGCCACCACTCTTCTCCAGGCCTCTGGATGCACGCCGGAGAGGTAAACAATCCTCCAGCTCCCAGGGTGCTTATTCAATAAAGGACACTACGGAGCTCCCAAAGAAAAACTCCCAATTTACTCCCAGGGGATGCCTGTGATCAGACTCCGACACCCTGTGGGGTTGGTTCAATGAGAATCTGCACCGTGCTCATCCTTCTGCGCTTTCTGCTTCATCTGTCCCATCCTAGAAGTGTAGGCAGACCCGGGGCTCTCCTCGTCCCTTGATGGTTGGCTGCCCCAGTTTCCCCAATGTGTGTGTGTGTGAAAGAGAGAGAGAGAGAGAGAGAGAGAGAGAGAGAGAGAGAGAGAGAGAGAGAGATTCTGTGTGTGTTTGTTCTCACTGGGGCCAGAAAAAGGTGTTGGGTCGCTGGAGTTATTAGGCAGTTGTGAACCACCGGACATGAGTATTTAGAATCACATCGGTTCTTATGGAAGAGCTGCAGGCACTCTTGACCCCTGAGCCATCTCTCTAGCCCTTTTGAGCTAACCTCATTTGATTTTTTGTGGGGGGATAGTATGAAGTGAAAAAGTTGACAGCATCTGAAACTGTATGCATGCACACCCAACACACACACACTCACACACACACACACACACACACACACACACACACACACTCTCCCTCTCTCTCTATCCTGGCTAGAAGTAGAGTAGCCATAATGGCTGATGTCCTAAAACTGGCAAACCAGAGTTGTTAAAGAGCTGAGATCCAGTCCAACTTACTTCACAGATAAAGATCTGAGTCTGACGTGTTACAGAGGGTAGCCACGACCATAGCAGCAGGAATATTAATATTTAGTCCTTCTAGGAAGCAAGTCCAGACCTCCACTGTGTTGTTTGCTTGAGGAAATAAAATTTGTGCCGGAACAACACCCAGTGGTTGTGCTGTAGATGGCTGCCTTGGTGCCTTGGTAGTGTGGTTACCACAGAGACCACAGACCACAAAACCTAAAATGTTTACTCTCTTTCCCTCTATATCACCCCCACTGTAGGCCTCCAGAGTCCTCTGCCTCCGTCTAGCAGACAGGAGCAGGCGTGGCGAAGAATGTAAGAAGCATGGGAGCATGGGGACACAGACAACACCAGGCCAGATGTTGTGGGGAGCAGAGGAAGCCTTGAATGAAGTTCTGAGTGTCTGTGCGCCGTTGGCACGGGCGTGGCCATGTCGAAAACCATGAGACCATAGCCTCAGGGCCATGAGAACTTTAGAAGCACCATTAAATGCCTCCGTGGGTTCCTGAGCACGCCAGAGCTGGAGCCCTCTCAGCTTATGTCTCTGGATCTGCCAGGCACGGCTGCCACCCATGAAGCTGGATCGCAAATCTCTTTTTGGCATCGCCAGTTCCTTAAGATCGCCTAGTGCAGAGGTGAACAAGGTAAGGAGGAACTCAGCCACCTCTCTCGGGACATCTTTTTTTCTGGAACCCCTAAGTGCGCCCCCAAATCTGTCGCTGAAGACGGTGAGTTTCGAGGCTGCTCTTTCACTGCCGCGATCATCTTAAGCTTCGCGTGCAAAGCGCATCTCCGCAGAAAATGTGCGATGACTTCATCTCTATTTTGTGACCCTAACAAACATAAAACGTAGAACGAAGCCATTTGGTATTTTCAGCCGCTGTTCAGACCCGCACTTATGCAAAGCAGTCGCGCAGGCCATCGCTGCCATTATCCTCACTTTGAGCAAATCAAAAGGAAGAAGTGGCGGGGGCGGGGATCCCTGGGAGGAAGCAGGTGTGCTGGGGGGCTCATAGGACTATGTCATCTTTTATGGGTCAGATTTACTAATCTGAGTAAGAGAGATAAACCCAAGCCAAAGCTAACTTTTAAAATGGCTGTCCAGAAGCCTCATTCCTGCTAGCTGTTTCTCACAGTGCTGGGAGGGTCTACAAAGGCTAGCAGGGGAGAAAATAAGCAACTGTTTTACCCAGCTGTGACCACTGTGAGCTATAATAATCAATTATATATATATATATTATCATGGCAAGACATGCTCACATGTGCAGTGTTGGTAGGAATGTATGGGAGTTACCAATCGCTGAGTGCATTTAAAGCCTGTTCCACAAGACAGAACTCGTACCTGATACCCTTAACTGGGACAAAAACCCATGACTATGTTATAGGTCCCAGGGAGAATCTACTTATTGGTTTCCTAAAAATTCATGTAGTAACAAAATGCCCCCTCTAAATTCTCATCATTATACCCATTTCTCAATGTGTCTTTCAACCCTTATCAGAGAATCTTCTTAAAGTGGCACACACCTTTAATTCTAGCAGAGGCAGGTGGATCTCTGTGAATTTGAGGGCAGCCTGGTCTACAGAGCAAATTCCAGGACAGTCAGAGAGACCTGTTAACACAGAGAAACCCTGTCTCGAGGGGGGAGTGAGGGGGAGAGAGAAAGAGAGAGAGAGAGAGAGAGAGAGAGAGAGAGAGAGAGTAGCACAGAAACCCACAGAGAATAAGACTGTGGAGTGCTCAAATATATCGCACACTCTTCCCCAAAGGCTCGGGGATCATTGTGGAAGCAGGGGATGAAAGACTGTGAGGGCCAGAGGTGGCGGACATCTACAGCAAAGCGGTATTTCCTGGACCTATCACTGCTGTTGCACAGAGGAGCTCACAGCAGCCACGGCAGCACACACAGACCAAGCCAGCCAAAAATCCCAGCCTGGATGTGGAAGGCCTCATGAAGTCCCAGCCCTAGCTGAGGGCTGGTCTTGAACTCACAGAGATCCCGCCTGTCTCTGTCCCTCAAGTGCTGGGACACCACCACCTGGTGAAATTGTTTTTATGACTAAAAGAACCATGAAAATTCCCAACCTATTAGAGAGTAAGTTGTGAATTCTGAACCACATAGAAAAAAAGCTTGAAAGGGGTTTTAAAATACAACTTGCTGGCCGGGCGGTGGTGGCGCACGCCTTTAATCCCAGCACTCGGGAGGCAGAGGCAGGCAGATCTCTGTGAGTTCGAGACCAGCCTGGTCTACAAGAGCTAGTTCCAGTACAGGCTCCAAAATCACAGAGAAACCCTGTCTCGAAAAACAAAACAAACAAAAACAAACAAACAAACAAACAAAAAAAGTAGTTTCTGGGCCTGTCTTTATAAGTCCATCCTGCTCCCTTCTCTCAACTATACAAACTCATTCTCAGGCTGGCTCATTCTCTTATCGCCTTGACTACTAAGCCATAGGGTTTGGGGCCACCAGNGGAATGTAACCTTGGTTCTAGGTGTGGTGGTTTGAATGAAATGCTCCCACCCTAAAGGCTCACATATTCAAATGCTTAGTCCCCAATTTATGAACTGTTTGGGAAGGATTGGGGGTGTGGCCTTGGAGGAGGTGTGTGATGAGGGTCAGGCTCTGAGGTGTCAGAAGACTATCACCATTCCCAGTCCCTCTGCCTCCCTCCCTCTCTTCCCCCTCCCTCCTACTTTCAGATCCAGATGTAAAGAAGTCTTGAGATTTCAAAAGCCCACATTAGCCCAGTGTCACCCTCTCAGTTTGCTACCAGTGGTCAGGATATAAAGCTCTCAGCTGCTGCTCCAGCAACCGCCCCTGTCTACTTCCCATCATGGTCATAATGAACCAACCCTCTGAAGCTGTAAGCAAGCCCCTAATTAAATCATTGCGTCTCTTCACAGCAACAGAACCATGACTCAGACACTAGGTACGCTCTCAGCCAACCAGGTCGGCATTCCCAGCCTTCGAAAGCTTCATTTTCAGAGGGGTTTGCTGGCTTCCACTTTCAGCCACTTGACATCTCCCCCTCCCCCTCCCCCACCAACCGAAACATAATATTTGTATTAATTATTTGGTGTGGCGCACTACGGCCGTCTGTGCGCTATGTACCGCCATACCGTTCTATGAACTGGGCAAGGGACTGGGGATTGACACAAGGACACACAGAGACAGACAGCACAGACAGAGACACAGGTCATCCTTGATGCCAGAATGCCCCAAGAAAGTCCCTTTATTGCAGACAGGGCAGCTTATATAAGGATAGCCACGCCCCAGCCAAACACACCAGAAACCACTCTCCTGCCATCAGGAACTCCAGAGGGTCTCATGCTCAGAGCAGCTGCAGGCACTCAGATCAGGGGGAAACACGTTGTTTACAAGAAATTCAGGATCTGGGGTTTCACTGCTCCCAACAATTTGGGAATTTCATACAAGGCACCCCATCATACTTGCTTCGTATTCCTCCTGGATCCACCTTCCCACCCTTGTGCACCACTCCCACCACCAACACACACATACACATGCACACAACACCGCACAGCTCATTTTGTATACTCATTAGAGCATGATCAAACTCCCAGCCGCCAGCCCCTTAAAGAAAACTGAGTCCTTCCCCACAACCCCCACCAGAAGCCATCAACCGTGAAGAGCAAGCCCTTCATCATCTGTATCACAACTTTTGAGGGCTCTTTTCATAGTTTCCTTTCTGGACTGTTTCATTTGGGGAGGGGGGGGGCAGGAAGAGGTCGGCACAGAAGCCTTCTATGTCTCTCATTTTCAGTTCTGCATCTGTAGGCATCTAAACCATTACAAAAGAAGCTAGCTTCGCGGGGCACCTCAACCTGGTTTCCAACTCACAGAAATCTTTCAAGGAGGCTTAACTAAGGAAGTGAACCATTTTCATCTTGGATATCTTGTTGTTGCTCAGGGTCAGGGTTATCGTGCAGCTGGACGGCACATGGGGTAGGGGGCAGAACCTGACAGAGCTGCTGCACGCACGCGCGCGTGCGCGCACACTGCCTTGCCCTCCCCGCCTGTACCCCAGGCATGACCATTGTGTTTGCAGCCTGAGGGCAGCACAGAGGCCCGGTGCTCCCCTCCCTGCAACAGGCTGAGCACACAAGGCCTGCGAGCCAAGCGGGCCAAGCGGTAGTACCATCCTAGTGAGTGGTAACGGGCAAAGTGAGCCAGTGGTGACTGAAGCCTGACATACTCCTTTGTCGGCAGGGGCCCTGCTCTATGTCTCTAGCTCTGCTTCTCTCTGCTGCTGAACACTGCTCTGTTCAGTCGGGTCCCATGTTCTTGTCGTCGTCGTCGTCGCCCCCGCCCGGTCCCCCCTCCCCATCCCGTCCCCCCTTGCGATGCCTCCTGACATCTCTCCCAGGAGTGATACTGGAAGTACCATGACTATAGTTATTCTAAACTATTATGCAGGTAATAAGATAAAGTCACACATCCATTAGGAACCGAGATGCTCAACACAAAAGCTGCCGATATAAAATCAGAACAGTAAACACCACGTAGTCCTAAATTAGAACTGAAAATCTCAAGGCACGCTGCATCTTAAAAGGGAAAACAATCCTGAGCTCTCTTTACTGCAAGTCTGGGCACCCAGACTGCTGTGCTGTTTGAACACAATTCTTCACCCACCTCATCCCCGCTCCCTCCCAAAAGGACCAGTACTTCTCACAAAAGTAGCTAATCTGAGCAGCAAATGATTACAGCCAGAACATCTAGTCATATAAAAGACAGGGAAGGTGTAAAAACCGCTGAGGTCATGGCTAAGAGGTTCATGCAGCGAGGTTTCCCCGGACCAAGTGGAGGGCAATTCAGGCATCAAGATGGATATCAGCTGCAATAAACTGAAGCCCGTTCAAGTCGGTTTACAATGTTACTAAACAAACACAATTTTTGGTCTTTTGATTCAAATCACACTTTCTGGGGGGAGAGGGAAGAAGCCTTCCTTCGCCTTTGCTGATGGTTACCCCTCAAAACGATGAAAACATCGATAGGAGGAAGTTCTTCTAGAGCGAGTTAAGTTCATTAATTCAAAAGAAATTATCGCGAAATAATATTGCCCTGCGCTGGGAGACACCCAGGCGTTGTGCGCCCCCTAGTGGAAGTCAACTGTTTACAGCGGGTTCTTGAAATGCAGGCAAATCTGAATCCCATACGGTAGCCACCAGTCAGCCACACCTATGGATTTCAAGTTTATTTACAAAGATAGAAAAATCTAGTGTTTTATTTTATTTTATTTTATTTTATTTTGAAAAGGTGTTGTACAGGGTGGTGTTGTGTGTCAACTTGACCCAGGCTAGAGTCACCAGAGGAAGGAGCCTCAGCTGTGGAAATGCCTCCATGAGAGCCAGCTGTAAGGCATTTTCTTATTTAATGATCAATGGGGGAGGGTCCAGCCCATGGTGGGTGGTGCGATCCTTGGGCAGATGGTCTTGGCTCTATAAAAAGGTGTCCAGCTGGTGGCTTTAATCCCAACATCTTGGAAGCGGGGCCCACATTCTAGCTGTTTCTACTTTCGAGTCAGAGGGAGTCACTTCTGCAATCTCTTTTCTTGGGTGTGTTCCCTGAGCCATGTTGGCCCCCTCTCTGGGCTAAGAGAGGACACCTTGATCCAGTATAGAACATCTTTTTTGAGACAGGGTTTCTCTGTAGAGTTTTTTTTTTTTTAGAGCCTGTCCTGGAACTAGCTCTTGTAGACCAAGCTGGCCTCGAACTCACAGAGATCTGCCTGCCTCTGCCTCCCAAGTGCTGGGATTACAGGCATGTGCCACCACCACCCAGCCCAGCATAGAACACCTTGCTGTGCTGGACCTGCTCCCCGACCATCACTACCCCATATCTGTTCAGAAGCAATGCTGGATGGGGCGCTCTCCCGGGGCTCTCCTCAGTTACCCCCCTGCGGGCAAGGCCCAACCCCTCCTGTCTAACACCTTTGCCAAGTTAGCTTTAATTTCTCCAGTCAGCACTCTGCCACCCATGATTAGCTCTTGCCGGTTGTCCTGGGTGAATTATGGACTCTCCCTTGCTCAGTATGCCTTAAAATTCTTTATTGCATTTAGTTATGTGTGTATGTGTGACACAAATAATAAAAAACCCAGAGACAGACAGTGGGGTTCAAGCTGAAGATCAGAAAAGCAAAGCAGTCAAGCCTCTAGGGAAGTCTAAATCTCTACCAAGGCTAGGTGGCTGCAGACTGAGCCCTGAGCCTCTCTCTCTTCCTGGTTTATTGTTCCCTTTAGTGCTGGGATTAAAGGTGTGCGACTCCACCTCCCCCCCCCCCCAACTGCCTGGCCTATAGTGGGTTTAGTTTTATCCGCTGATCATCAGGCAAGCTTTATTTATTAAAACAAAAATAAAATTTCACTGTCTGCGTTGTTGTGTGTGTGTGTGTGTGCGCGTGCGCTTGCACACCTGGAGCTCAGAGGACAACTGTTGGAGTCGAATCTCTCCTTCCACCGTGTTGGTTCCAGATATTGAACTCGGATTTGTCAGCCTTGCTGGCCGCAGAGTCTGGGCTCATGGCAGTGTGAGAGAACGCCCGCATGCTCTCTCCTTGGGGAACCACCAGGACCTCCGATCTAACGGCTTTATTTAAACTCAGGAACTTCCTGAACACCCCATCTCTAACTACGGTAGCTCAGTTAAGTTTCTGTTACATTGAACTAGCTACTGAAGCCACAGTACCAACTACCTTATTTTATGGGGATTCTCAGCACCTCCCCAATTAGAATCGTTCTGCTGGAGCCTCCGGCTCACTCTTGCTTGATCCAGAAAGCCCCATCCCTCTCTTTCCAAACCCCACCCTCTCAAATGAATCGCCAAGAAAGAAAAGGCTCCAAAAAGCCCAGTTCTGCATTCTTGGCAATTGCGGCAGCCCCTCCCCTGGAGTTACCAGTAGCCCAAAACCCTACATAAGTGTTCAGTGTAAAAGTGGAGACTGTTTTTTAGTTTTCCTGCCGCCCAGACCAAATAATCAAACAGAAACTATATTAATTATGACATTGTTTGACCAATAGCTTAGGTGTATTTCTAGCTTGCTCTTACATGGTAAACTAGCCCATTTCTATTAATCTGTGTAATCACCGTGAAGCTGTGGCCTACTGGTAAGGTTCCAGTGTCTTTCTTCTTCAGCAGATACATGGCATCTCCTTGACTCTGCCTTCTTTCTCCCTGAATTCAGTTTAGTTTTCTGGCCTAGCTGTATTCTGCCCTGCCATAGGCCAGAACAGCTTCTTTATTAACCAATGATAATAAAACATATTCACAGCGTGCAGAGGGGAATCCCACATCAGCTCAGCTTTGACCATACGTGGGCACAAACCCAGCAGGGACACATCTTCACCCCTATGTTACAGGGTATATAAGCTCTCTGCTTTAGTTCGACCGTGTGACTTCTCTGGCCCCAATCTCTGGGGCTGGAGGACTTACCTGGGAGTTGCTTTGCTCAAATATACTTGTTCTTTTGCTTTTTCAATTGGGCTTGATCTGGCTTACTGTATTGGTGAAGAGACCTATTATTGCATTACAGGAAATGTATTCATAATCTTGTATGGTTTGAAGGCTTCTGGTTCTTTAGCTAAAATATCCAGAAGACCTGAAGACCAGGACCCCTTGTCAGCCAAGTCATCTATGGTTGTCTTGATCTTCTGTTTCCTTCTTTCCACAGCTGTGATCAACATGTGTTGTTTATAAAGTGCCCATCCCAGGTGTTTTGTTATAATGGCACAAGCAGAATAGACGTGATCAATTTTATCTGGGAAGACTGCAAATACTAGCTTGAAGCCTTTTCCTTCTTTCTCTATCTGACAAAGATATCAACGAATGGAGACACAAGGATAAGGCATGGTTTTTAAAAAAGTATTAGGGGATGGAGAGATGGTTCAGTGGTTAAGAACACTGGTTGTTCTTCCAGAGGGCCTGAAAGATTTCCAACACCTACATGGCAGCTCACGACCACCTATGACTCTAATCCTAAGAGTTTCAATACCCTCTTCTGGCATTTCCAGACAACTGGGCACAACTTTTAGCCATGTCTAAGTAATTCGTTCTCTTTTGCTTGAGAAGCGAGGGCAAGAAGTCTGATATTTCAAAATTACATTAAAAACCAAGTTTTAGTGTGTCACACTTGGCCCTTGGGTAATTCGTGTTGTTTGAAGGGAGGAGACAGTTCCCTTCAAACAGAACCACTTAGCTGTGCCATTGCAGGGCACATCCCTCCTTCCCCAGTCTTGTGCCAGGCCTCTCCGAGATTATTTACTTACTCCGGAAAATGAAAAAAATGTCGTGGTCTGTGAACCATGAGGCTTTATTCTTAGCTTGTGTATCGTGTTGGTTTTTCTTCTTCTGCCTTTTTTTTTTCTTTTTAAGGAAAATCACAAGAATATATAAAAGTTTTTGATGAATAGAACCCTACATTTTTAGGAGAAAATGGCTGGAACAGTTTGGGGCTTGGGGCCGCCTGTTGCTCTCTGGTAAAAGCTTCCCACAGCCTTGGTTTTATTCAGCTGCGTGCTTGGTGCCAGGATTTACATGGCCGCCGTGGGGGAGACAGCTGGATTTAGCATAAGGAGGAATAACTGCTCTCTCCCTGGAGAGACACAGAAAGGATAAGCGCAGAAGGTACAGAGACAATATTATCGAGAATTATATTTCTGCTCAGTTCTTTTATTCACCCTGAATCCCTGGATTCTGTTGCAAATAACAAAAGCGAGAAACTAGTTGGCCTGGAGCCAAGGCCTGGGACTGTGGAGGAGGCTAGTCAGCCCTCACTGGCTGAAGGTTCCGCATCCTTAAATCAATCAATCAATCATAGGTTGAAAGCGTTTTTTAGACAGCATCTGTACTGAGCATGTAGGTTTCTTTTCCATTATAATTCTTTAAACAGCATCATGTAACTGTTAACACGGCATGCATATTGTATTGGGTACCCTAAGTAATGTAAGAGGGGAACAGGAACTTAGGTCAGGAACTGGGCGGGAGTCGGGGTGCGGGGATGGTGGGGAGGCCATACTAGTTAGCAATGAAGAAAATGCCGCAGGCCTGTCTGCTAGAGGCAACTCTTCAGTTGAAGGTCTCTTTTCCCAGGTGTGTCCATTTGACAACCCAGATTAACCACCCCACCCTTTCTGGAGCCCTTCATCCTTTCTCCTGGGTGAGGAGCAAGCTGTGCCATCTAAACAGAAGCAGTGAGAGACGTCACCCTAGTACTGTCCCCGATTGCAAAGGAAATGATCTTAAGGTCTTGGGTTTATGATATTTGCCATTAGATTTTGGTGATTTCCCTTTATCAGGCCTTTCAGCCTCAATTCACCATGAATTTGCAATATAAAAATGATTATTGGGTTGGATCTGGTGGCTCAAGACTATAATTCCAGCACTTGGGTGGCAGAGACTAGAGTATTGCTGGAAGGCTAGCCTGGGCTACAGATTGAGAGACTGTCTTTAAATAGGGGAAGGGGGTAAGTTTAATCAGTTGCCTTTAAAAAATCTGTTGAAATAATCCATTTTAATCAATCAGATAATATACTGAATGATGACGAATGCTGAATGGACTTTGGAATGTTAAATTAACTTTTATTAATTTTAGACAGGGTTTCACCATGTAGACCAGGCCAACCTAAAACTCACAGATACCTTCCTGCTACTGCCTCCCAAGTGCTGGGTTAAAGGCGCACATACCATGCCTATCCTGAATTAACTTTACTGTGGATATAAACCTGGCTTGGTTCTGATGAACTGAGCTTTTAATCTATTACTGGGTGAGTTTATTAATACCTTGTTTAAGATTTATTTTATGTGTGTGGGGGGGGAGAGAGAAAGGAGAGAGAGACAGAGAGAGAGAAAGAGAGAGAGAAATAGAGAGAAAGAAAGAGAGAATGGGTTTTCTCGATCTATGCACTCTATCTTGAACTCTTAGGCTCAAGAGAATCCCCCTGCCTCAGCTTTCTATGTTGCCTTAAGACTTCTAACCAAACTTGGAAGCCACTTGGAAGCCATAGGTGATCCCGCTGTCTGAAGGATTTGGGTGCAGTTTGTGCTGTCTTTTGAGTGCTGCCTTAGTCTTTGGAACTAACTAGGTCTAGTGTTTTCCTTGTGGAAAGAGTGAGAACTGTGAAGCTCCCTAGTGATGGGAGCTGAGTATTGAAGCTAATGTGCTGTGGACAGCAACTTCTAAATTACGAACAGACTTTATAGAGGTTTTAAACTCAGTCCTCAGAGGAGCCGTGGACATGGGGCTACAGAATTCCCCAGTCAAGTTGCTGCTGGTCATAAAGATCCTCTTTACCCCACTGTGTCTTTGATATATTTTACTTAATTTTCATGATTTCACCATGAAAATCTCATGTATATTTTATAGAAAAATTTCTAATAAGCTTTCATCTCTGTTGCCTTTGCAACCTGTGTCTTGTAATCATATTTTCACTAAAGTATAGATTGAAGTTGTAGTTCGCATATTGATTTTATTTGTGGCAAACTTACCCCCTCTTATTAAGTCCGTTTGGTTTTTTTGTATAATAATTTCCCGTGTGTGTCACGTGTAGATGGGTTTTTCTTTGGGCCGTTAGCTCATAATCTGACTATGGAGATCAAATGCGACAGCGGGGCCATCGGGACTGCTCGAGAAGCACAACCAGGGCTGGCATACAGTGCCGATCCGATGCGATCTGGTCAACTTAAATCTCTCTTCTCTGTTGGTTAAGGGCTTGTCTCATAGCCAGGTGGTGATGGCGCAAGCCTTTAATCCCAGCACCCAGGAGGCAGAGGCAGGCGGATCTCTGTGAGTCTGAGGCCAACCTGGTCTACAGAGCAAGTTCCAGAACGGCCAGGGCTACACAGAGAAACACTGTCTCCAAAACAAAACGACAACCCAAAGCACTTTACCTCACTGCTGCAGTCTGAATAGTTGTACCGTCTTAAAATTCTTTTGTGTGTGTACTTGTGTGTGCACGTTTGAGGAAGCCAGAGGTTGACACCAAGTGTCCTCCTCAATTACCTTTCAACCTTCTTCCCGAGACAGAGTCTCTGGCTGAACCAGGAGCTCAGCTTGTCCCAATTGTTTTTGCTACCCGCTCGGGAAGATGCAGCTGGGGTGCTTGCAGGATCTCTCTTGTCCCCTGCATTAAAACATGACTTCCCGCTAGGAGGCACTGTTTTCTCAAACCCCAGAGGTGGCTTTCCTATGGGGAGACTGTGTGCCCCTGGTATCAGCTTTTGGATCTGCCTTGTCTAGGTACAGCTAGTTCTAAGAGTGGCTGTGTCACGACAGTATTTGTTTTCCGGAGGTTAGTAACCCCCCAGCCCTGGCAGTTTTACGTAAGAGCCCGTGAGTAGAGTTTTCTGCAGGTGATAAACGGCCCCAATCTACTGTGCAACCAGACAGTCAAGAGTGAGAGACAGAAACACGGAACTACAGCCCGAATAGAAGGAGCGCAGAGGTTTGGAGCCTCATTAGAGAGTTTGGCGGACGGCGGAGTGGCAGGTGCTGATTGGCTGCCCGAGAGCTTGCTGCTACGGAGCAGATAGCTGAGAACTGCAGGTCTCAGAGAGCAAAGAAGGAACATACAGAACAAACGGTCTCTTGAACCTGAACCTGACCTCGTTGATTACAGTGCGGAAGAGGGCAGAGCCTGAAAGGGACTCGGGGAGCTGAGAGACCACGGCGATGGGAAGCAAACCCACCCCAGCAGAGAGGAAATGGAGTCCACCGGCTTTAACACCGGCTAGACTGTTCTCCTTGAAAACTTTCTGTGCCGCTGTGGTGGAAGGCCCAGGTTTCTCTTTCTTCTTGGTCAGACTGCCCTCATCTCTAACACCCGGATGCCTCGTGCTCACCCCCACTCTCCTGATTGCAAAAAGAGCTGAAGGAGGGTTCTCGTTTCCTCTTAAAAGCACAATGCAGAAGTTGCACGTATTATTCTGGCTTTCCTTCCACTGTGAAATCTTTACTTATAGGGCCACATTTTTGGGGCTTCTGAGAGATGGCTCACACTTCTAAAAATCTGAAAGGCTTCTTGTCCTTGGGCTTCCTATTTTCCTCCAGATTCAGTTTCCCAGCACCCATAAACCTGCACAGCAGACTCCTGGTTGGAAGACAGAAGAGGAAAACTATGTAGGAAATAAAGAATACCCTTTAACACAGAAGAGTTGCCACACAGTTAACTTCCGTTTATGCACCGAGAAGAAAGACGACAATCAGTGCCACCAGACAGTCCAAGTTCCAAGTGATCTGCTCTCGTGCTGAGCCCCTCCACCAGCAGCCGTTCAGTCACTGCTGGGAACCCCCCAAAAAGATTCCAGGGCAACCCTGGTTAAAGGATGTGCTCTGAGGGCCTGCAAGAACCCCCACTCTTCCCTCTATCCCGGGGGAGACTCTCCTCCTCTTAGGGTGAACTTGATCTGAGGGGGAGCAGAGAGCCAGAACTTTGGAAGAGCGGTCCCTTGGCCAGACCGGAGGAGACACTTCTCTGCACTGAGACCCTGTATGGTTTAGGACGTGGTCCAGCAGCTGCTGTTAATCTTTCCGCGCCGGTGGACTATCAAGAGCCAGCTGTCCCCATGCTTTTCTTCCTCCTCCTAGCTAAACATAAAGCTAGTCTCTAAGCACGTCCCAAGCTGAAGGCCAGCTTGCTTCTTCTGACTTGTTCTTTCTCTATAACCTTGGTGTTTACACACCCCAGTTTTCATTGTTTCGTATGTTCCAAGAGTTGACCGACCATAACATGTTTCGTGGTTCATTCCTATAACTCTCTGACCATAAACCTGTAATGTGTGCCTTTCCCACAATCATTAAAATTACTGCCAAATTCCACATTTATAATCACTGGCTTGCCTGGTAGGAAGAGGCTTCTCTTTGGATATTCTAGATGTGGATTTCCCTTGACGTGCATTTCCCGACAATGTTCACGCGCCTAATGCCCTTTTGGAATGTGGGTGTTTTGTTGTTGTTGTTTTTGTTTTTAGAGTTCGGACCCATAGTAACACCGAGTAGAGGTGCCAAGAGTCCCTGTTCACACACACACACACACACACGTTCACACACACACAGAGGGAGAGATTTTCTTTTCCCTAAAGTCTTCTGTGTGTTATAGATCATAGTATCTTCAACCCCTGAAAATCTTTTATAGTCCCCATATTTCTGCCTGGTCACATTGTCAAAAATAAAAATTTACTATGCTATACAAAGAGAAGAGAGGGGAGACTTTCGTGGTTATATACCAAATTATTGCTGTATTTTTGTTGTAATTAGCATCAATAGTTTTTAACTGAAAATTATCACACTATTTCCCCAAACCCCACCTCTCGAAGAAACAACCAAACCTAGTTCTGAAGCTAAACCTTCCCGGTGGCTGAGTAGCCAGAGGTGGCCTCTGTCGCCCTCTAAGGCCGCTGCGCTTGGCAGTCGTGGGGTTTCTGCCACCTGGTGGATGTTACTGGTAGCGCAACCAGGGAGGCCGTCCCAGGCGGAGTGAGCAGCCACGGAGAAAGGACCGCCAGTCAGTCACTTTGATAATGCTTCAGCTGAGCTCACTTATTACCTGGGAAGACCAGGAGCCTGCGCGCTTTATTATGGGTTTGTGGTGTTTATTAATCCACAACAGTATTGTTTTTGATAGACAACCTAAGATTAAGGCTAATAAAGGACTCCGGAATGTGGACTCGATAATTTTGTTGGCTTGAGAACAAAGAAGAAAGTCAGTAAATAGTACCTGGATTCTCCAGTAATTACTCCATCTTATAAATTACTGTTTTCTCCTATTCCAGCCCAGTCTGTCATTCTTGAAAGTATGATATATTAATTTTGAGCTAAGCAATATCCACAGGGAGTAATCAGAGCTGGCACCGTACAGGTGTTTCCCCAATGAAAAAGGTTACTATTGGAATTATTTAT